ATATATATGAGAGATGAAGTTACTACTTGTGAAGCCTTCACGAAGTCGTGTGCTTTACGAAGTGTAGGCCCGTACTCTTCACTCACATCACAACTAAGTATTGCTTGAATAGCAAATGCAGCATCCCACATTTGGCTCCCAAAACTCTGCAGAGGTTTAGAATGATTTAGTAATTAAGAGAAAAATTAAAAGAAAAAATTAGTTTCTTTTTATAATTCTTTTTACATGTTATTTTTTCATAATTTCAATGAATGTGTCATTGTTTTCCTTCTAAAATTAGAAAGAGGAGAGATATTAATTTTGTTTCCTTTAGGTAAGGTATTGTGGTACCTGGATTTTCAAGCCGTCTTCTGCGAGCCAGAAGTAATCAGGGATTCGGGCTAAATGAAGTTTGTATGCCTCTGAATTAGGGTCCTCAACCCAACGCGCAAGCAAGCACAGAACCTGTAATTAATTTCCATTAAGGAAGCTAAGCAATGAATTTATCAATTAATGGTAATAATTAATTTACCTTCTCTACACTTCCAATGCAAAGGTATCTACTGTTCTCATCCTCGTAACGTACATGCTCAATTGCTATTTGTAATGCCTTCTGTCTGAGCATGGAAAAGGGCCAGCAATTCAGGAAACGCTCTCCCACGTGATGAAGAAATCCCCATAACATGTCTTGGATCACAGGATGTGGATAGTACAGATCCTCCTAATAATATATATGATACACTGCTTGTTTAGTTACTCGCAATATACAGACAGGTTTTAAATGTAAAGATTTTATATATTGACCTTAGCAACAGTGTTGCGGGCTTTATTCCAGTTGATTGCTTCATAAGGCTCATTATACATTTCTTCTCTGAGTGATCTGATTAAGGCAGTGATGGGACCTACGAACCTCTTCCCATATAAGTATGACATGGGCATGTAAACCAAGCGACAGTAGCACAGCATTTTCCCTGCATGTTTTCAATGTATTAGTTAAAAGTAGTAAGTTGTAGAAAGAAACCCTAGACCATGCATGCCTCTGAGACTAATTTTTAACCTGGATGAATGGGGATGGCTTTGGGTAGAAGCCAAAACTCCGGTGGAAGTGGATTACAGCCACACCATTCATAGACACCCAGTACCTATATATACAACAATATCAATCAAATGTCAAAATCAATCAATTCATTATATATGTATATATAATATATTCATTTACCGTGACCCAGAACTTTCCCCACGAAGGAATAGCCACTAAACCACCATGCTCCAGGATCCACTTTCTTCCTCTGTACATTGCCCGCTCCACACCATCTTCAACCCCTTCACCAAGTATCCTCAACGCAATGTAGCTCAGTGCTGATCCAAACATTGTACTATCACCCTCTATATGGAATCCCCAACCCCCATCTTCGTTCTGATGATTATACAAATATCTCACTATTTCCTTCTTGTGTTCGGCTCCTAAAACAACATCAAGGGATCCTGTGATGTATAATGCCATCACCAAAGGTTGAAGGAAAAACAAAGGCCCAGCTGATTCTGCAGGCCAGTGCCCATCACTGCCTTGAATGGATGAATAGAAACCGATGCCTCTTCTGATTGTAGTAATCAACGCTTCCATCGTAACATTTTCTCTGTCTCTTACCTTCACTGCCGCTGGAATCACCCCACATTCATTCTCTTTTCTCAGCTGCCACCGTAAATCCACCAAATAATATTAATAACACTGTCGATTTTAATTATTTTTAATTTTTACTTTTTTGGTATGTCTTTCACTTTTTAATCAATAATATAAATACACTTCTCTCGTAATGTACTTCCTTATGTATACAATATTTTGATCCTATCACAATTATCTGTACTATCTTTGGAAACATTAATTACCATGTATCTATAAACATTTTTTTAGAAAAGCGACAAAGTTATTGTTTTTGGGAGAATTTTTTTGTTAAACATAAATTCAATGAAACCCAAACATACTGTTCATAGTTAGACTTAAAAATATATTCATATTATCAAATTAATTTTTGCATTAATGAAATATAATTATTTTTTTTTTATCTTGTGGAGCTTATTTTACGTGTCCTTTCTTGTTGGTTGTGTAGTAACTGCTAATATCCCATTTTTTTTTTCAATATTAAAAATGTGTCTTTTGAGTATTTTAGTTAAGTATATTTTTTTATTGTTCTCACATTGATATAAACATGAAGGAAAAGAAAGGATTGGACGCCTCAATACCACAAATATTATTTATGAACAACGGGAATTGAAGATAAATGACTATGAACACTTTTATAACTTTCTTTTCTAACTTTCCTTCTGCCTCGAGTTAATTTTTATATATGAAGATATGCAATTTTGTATAATTTTTTTTATCTACATTGTTATTTTATCTTCAATAAATTTTCAATTTGCAAGTGGTTTTAACTGTTAATTTTGATATAAACAAAATTTAGAAAGAAATCAACAAAAAGTTGTGATCATACATGAGAAAAGGTTTAACAAATATCGTACACTCAATATTGTGTTGTGATTTACCGTCACAATAAATATTTTATCAGATATATTAATAATAATACTATTAATATATATATATATATATTATAGTATATATAATATATATAATATATATATATATCATATATATATACAATTTATCAATTGGGAATTATCTAGAGAAAAATGTTAAAAATGATCTTAGACTGAATAAGAGTATTCTTAATTATGGCGAAATAATAGAGTATTTTGCATTATTAATGGCCAATCTATATAGTATTATTATATATATATTATTAAATATATATTATATAAAATTTTAATATTTATTGAACTATACATGCTTTTTTTAAGATTATTATTTAATATTTCAAGTAATTTCACTTGTTATAGTTTATTTGTTATTAATGTAATGACCTAATTTATGAGTACTGTACAGAGAAGGGTTTATAAATAGAAAGTAAATAATTTTACTTTTCGATTTATTATTATAGCTAGTATTATCTCAAATTATTAATATAAATATATTTTGTATAAATAATTTAATGGCTAAGTTATGGGATAAAAAAATGTTCTTTATTAAAATGTATTAAGAAAATTCATGGGTTATTTATTATTTCGTTGTAGTGTAACTTTTAATAAAAAAAAATGTTTTAGTTCCTTGAGGGAGGGGTTTGTATTTGTACCTATGGGAGTTTCGTCTTCTGTCTTCTGTTGGTAGTTCGAAAGAAAAAGGGAAATGATAATCCTAAGTTACCTCATAGTATTTATTGCCTTCCACGATATCTCCTTCTCTATGTCACTCGATCACGTACAACACATTTTTTCTTTTCCATATTCAGTTCAAACATAATCTATTATTCATATATATATATAGTATATTATATATATAATATAGTATATATATATAATATATAGTATTATATTATATATTTTTTATATAGAAGTATTTTTCTTTCAATTTTGTTCTAAATGTTTTATTTTTAATTTTTTATCGTGGTATAATATTTTTAATGTGGGTAATCATTGATAGATTTATTTTTTAATATTATTTAAAAGCTACGCTGTATATAAAATGATTATTTATTTATTCTTTATATTATTGAAATTTAAAATTATTTATAATCTGGGTTTGATGATAGGAACTTATACCGGTTGTAAGAGATTTGATATTCATTGACACATTAATTAGTATCTTTATGTCATTAAGGTGATTTGTGGAGTTTGAGGATCAATTGATGAAAAATTTAGTGGTATGCAGTGCAAGTATTAAATTAGAGGTTTGAAGAATGAAATACCTGATTCTGAGAAGAGATCTGCGCTTTGTTTGATGGAATGTCGGTTTAGTGTGAATTGGTTTTTTTGCCTTTCTACCTCACCGCGTTCTTCAACGGTTCCGGCGTTTTGGGACAAACACCAATGTTGCGTCCCACGAAATTATTCGCGGATATCAGTTCCTTCCCTCCTTCTCCTATCTTCAACTTCCACATCTTACTATTCTTTTCTTTTTCAACCAACTCACCCAATGCATGCATTTATATATTACACGCGTTACACCAACACTTCAAAAATATATTAATACTAAAAATATAATTTTTTGTATTGTAAACAATATTTATGTATTCTCTCAAAATTAATTTTATGTATTCTCTCAACTCTCTCTAAATATATAAATGAATTGAATTTTAACTTTGTCCTAACGTGAAAAATAAAAACTAAATAGAAAAAGTAATTAATTAATAGAACCGAATTTTTGATAGATATCATTTTTATTGAAAGTATTAAAAAGAAAGTATCTATTGTAATTATTCTGTTAAAAGTATTAAAAAATGAGTTTGATGGAAAGGAAGGTTTGATATCTTAAAGTATTAAGGTCTCCAAAGGACTATGAAACTTCTTTGTCACAGTTGAGTTGGTATTATATAATAATAGAATCTTCAACAGTAATTTTTTAATGACTTTTAAGAGAACACCAACCTTTCTTCCAATCAACTATTTTTTTAATACTTTTAATAGAATAATTATATACAGTAATGCTTAAATGTTAATAAAATAATAATAATAATAATAGAAAGATAAAAACTGTGAATAGGGATCATATTATTATTAATTGCTCCATTGAGGAACAAACTTTTGTTTATCATACCGAAATGATTTTTTTTATTATATTTTAGCTTACATTTAAAAATTAACGAGAAAACTATATTTCTATTCGATAATTGTTGTTTTTATCAATTTACAATAAAATTATTTTCATAGAATGTGCAGAATCTAACTTTCTTAAGATCAAAAAATATTTTACCACAAAACATCTTATTATTTTTATTCACTTGTAACCAATCAAGGTTTAGTGAAAATAAACAAATATTTATTTAAAAAGTCTTTAATAATAATATTTTCAGCAGTTACTTTTCAATTAAACAATTTAATTATTCTTAAAATTTGGACAACCATAGTCACAATCTAAACCCATTAATAGATGTAAACAAAATGTAAACACTTAACTCTCCTTATATGATATCTATCATTGAACTATTGTTTTAAAAGTTTTCTTTGATATTTTAGAAACTAATAAAAATCTAAATAAGTTTCTAAGAATCAAACCTTATTTCAATATATAATATCTCCTTTTACAACAACACACAAAAAGAGAAATAAATAAGAAAAGCGTCATGAAAAATTATGATTTATTTATCTAAACTTTGGTTCTATTTAATCTATACTACTCTTCAGTTATAAACTTAATTAGAGAGAGTTGAGAGAAATATGAATTTAGATGAATTTTTAAATGAAAAAAATAATGAACTTTATCTCTGTTTATAAACTTTATATTCTTTATGGCATTCTAAAATTTATCTTTAAATATAACACAGGTTTTAAATTCTCTCAATAGAGAAAATGACAAGGAATATATACTCTTTTCTATTGGTTTATCTCGAAGAATAAATATATCGATATAAATTGATTTGTGAGATGAACACGACTAAAATTTGACAAGGCCCTTATAATAAACATTTATTTATTTATTTGAAAATAAAAAAATATTTATAGATACTAACAAAGTTACTCTTTTATAATGACTGAAAATAGTATTTCAAAATTTATCATGCAGACAAAATTCTCAAAGCAACAATTCATATACGGTATTTCATGGACAGCCACCAGCTAGCTACTTGCAACGTATTTTTAGCTATTTCAGTCCATATTCATTGACTCAGGTTCCTTTGCTGTTGGATTTTGTATTAGTTAGAATTCTTGCGACAGATTCATCATGGCTAAAATTATACACTATCAAACCATTTTAATAAGAGATTTTCAATTTCATTATATCGAGCTAGATTGAAAAACTAGCTGCTGATAAGTCACTAAAAAAATTTACACGGTTTTTTTACTAGTTATAAAAATAAAGATATTAAGACATATATTTACAATAGCGTACTATTTTACTGAGGAAAATAACTAAGCTTGTTGTCCACACCAGGTTATCTAACTTTCTGTTCGAGTACCACGCTTTTTATATTATTCCTATATGTATTGAACAATTACTCTTAATGAAACTATATGAATTTTCCTTTTCTCAATTTTTATAATTATGAACATTTATTTATATATCTTAAAAGTATAATATATATTAAATCAAGTTTATTTAATAAAGTATCAAACAAAGTTAAAATTTATGAAAGGGTTGTATGTATTTGAACTCCCTAGCGCCTTCAACCATTTTTTAAGATAGTGATAAAATTCTGGTTTTGGTTACAATAATATATGAAACTTGATCTTTAGGATATGCTGGAATAAGTAAAATTAGTTTAATTAAATTGGGAGTATTGATTTCACAATTTGCATATATTGTTTGTTCTAGAGTTGATTAAGTATTAACTTATTCCTCGAATAATATAATCAACATTTATTACAAGAGCACAAAACAATATCACTTACTTAAGATGTCAAAACTGAGAATCTGACTCGATCTATCACGGATTGGTCACTTAGTGAGCCAACCTAATCCAGCTTACTTATTTGCAAGCTGAAAATTTTCGAACCTGACTCAACCAACCACGGGTTGGTGAGATTGACTCACCAGTTCACTTAATTATAAGTTTCTTAAAAATAAAAAAAATATAATTTTTTTAATTCAAATTTAAATAAATTTTACTCTAAAATGATGTTAAATTTCAAAGAGAATTCAAAATAAAAATAAAATATCAAATATCATACAATTCAAGCGTAATCTAAAAACAGAAGATGAACAAATAAGTTTTTAATATTGATAATTTTTGTATCACTTATTCATCTGTAATATTAGAGTATTGAATAGATAAATTTATATTTTTTCTCTTGAAACATCTTTAAATCAAAATAAAAATAATAATAATTAATTAAATTAGGTGGGTTGGTGAGCCAACCCACTCAACAGGTTCAACCCAGATGAGCTGGGTTTTAAGTGAGCGAGTTGAAAACTAACCCGCATAAAAAAATTACATTTTTGTCAAACGAATCCAGTTCAAACCTGTGATAACCGGATTGATCACGAGTTATAACCCATTTTGATAACACTTTTAAATATTAATTTGATCATTTAAATAATATAATAATTGTTAGTGTGATTTAGTGAAATGGAAACAAAAATAATTTTTGCATGAAAAAAAAAGATCACTCTGGTTTTCCCCCTCTTCTCTGGGTCTGTACAGTGATTTTGCATGTGACCTCTGATATTTTGCTAGCAAACAAAATAAACTGAGAAAAAAAAAAAGGTAATTATCATTTTGGGTGCAGGTTTGACCAAAAGTTGCATATTTAAATAGTGTTGGTGCAGATTCCGGCACATGCATGCTTAGTTTTCTTTCAACTAGAACAACTTTCTTTCCCATTAGCTGTTGAGTAGAAGAGAGTGAAGCAAATATAAAATTAGTCCTTTCCTTGAAAAAATGTTATCTAGTTTCTTTATTCAAATAACACATTAATAAAAACAACACTTGACTATTCAAAAAGCATTAATTTATAAAAAAAAATGTTATATCTTATGTTTATAATCTTCATATGTTTTATTTCGTTGCATTTTTCTTCTTCTTTTATCCTCCATTAGATCATTTAAACTAGATTAGTTAAGAGAATAGCCTAAACCAGTGAACTAATAAAAAAAAGTTAATTAAAATGTTAAAAAACTTTATTTTATTAAAAATTTAAATAGTTATAAAAATAAAGATTAAATATGTCTTTTTTGTTTTAACTTTGAAAATTGAAGTTAGTTTTTTTTTTAAAAAAAAACTTTTGTCTAACTTAGTCCCAATTTTATAAAGTGTTAATTTAGTTTTTTTAATTAAATTTTGTTAAATTTATTTAATGTTTCAAACGTATTTCATGATACCATTTGAGTTGATTATATCTTTTGACTTATTTTTGCTTCAATATTAGTTTAGAAAATATTTGAAATGTTATATAAACTTAACTAAACTTAGTTAAAATGACTAAATTCAACGTTGAAGAATAAATTGAACCAAAAATTTTAAAGATTGATAATTTTAATTTTTATTAAAAGTTAAGAAACAACAAACATCTAACTTTAAAAGTATGTATTTTGTTAAAATTTTGAAATTATTTAATAAATTTTGTTAAGATTGTCTTTAAAACTATTTTGTAATATAAAATACAACCTAGTTTGAAAGACACGCCTTGATTATATTTTAATATTTAATATTCTTCATGTATACAAATTAAATTTGGAAGCTCAGGAATTAAAATTGTGAATCACAAATTGGAAATGAAAAATAAAAATAAAAGATAAAAAATATCAAAATTTGATCCTTCCACATATTTGATAACCAAACACTTTTCTTATCATTATCTAAAGATTCATACTAAAGTTTAAACAATTAACTTTATTATCTTGAACCTAAAAGAGTCATATACAAATATCACTCTCTCCATGCATGTTAAACTTTCAAAATGACTCAAGAAAAAGTAAAAGATGACTTATTATGATGAAAATTATGATGGACTAAGATTGGTCTACTTATGCCATAATTTTATAGTAGACTTTGATATTTAAAGAGACGAATAAATCTTAAATAAAAGTTAAGAAGAAAAGAAATGTTTTTTTTAAAATAATAATCTTTATAAAATATATAACTTGAATAATGATTTTTCCATTTATAAGTTTGACATTTTAATAGCAAAATATGTAAGTTTCACTCTAACTACTTCTATTCTTAATTATTTTCTATTCTTAATTATTTTCTAGATCTTTATAATAACTCACACTTTGACCAATTCTATTCCTTATCCTCTCTTTAAAATATTATTTTTAACAATAACTAGATAAATCTTAAAGTCTTGTTCGTGTAAAATAAAAAATCTAGCATAATACTAAAATTTTCAAGGCAATTTAAGTATAGGTAATATGTCTAATTTTACCACTATTTATCATTTTATGAAAGGAATATTACTAGATATATACTACTGAAAATTTCACAGTAAAACTAATTTTAAATTAATATTTGAAAATGAAAAAGTGAACTCAAAATTAATAAAGTAAAAACAAAGATTAGTTTCTAGGCTTAAAATAAATTTTGAAGTTATATTCAACAGACCAATATGAAGAAGTTTCAAAGTGGTCTCACAATGACGATAATTAATTCAAAACTCCATTAATTTAAAAAAGAGAGGAAATCTTATTAAATTAAAGGAAACTAGCTAACATGTGACACTGCAAGATATTTTAACGAGAAAAAAGGAACTAGTTATGGTAAACGTGGTGATATTAAATGTCAAACTAACTAATGAATCTACACGGAACATTGCTTATTGCATGTCATGTACATAATAGTTATAAGAAATTGAAAGCTTCTTGGCATAAATTACGCAAACAAGGGAAACTGAGATTCACTTGGGTTAAGGTTTGGAGGAACCACTAATAAAAAAAAGTTTTTTAAGTATGTTATTTTAAGTTTTTTTATTTTTATTAAAGATCAAATATAATTGTGAAAAACATAAATTTACATGCATTTATAGTAACACATAAATTCTTCTTCTTCTAAAATTACATAAACATAAAACATCTAATATAAATCAAAATTTATTGAGAAAGCGCATCATGAAAGTGAAAAAACCAAGTTTTTAGTAACAAAATTGAGAAATTTGTTTGCTGCGCCTTAATCTTGCAATTAGGTGGAAACACCATCATGGTTCGTATCACCTTTGATGTTGTTGGGTGGAAACACCATTGTGGTTCATATAGTCACTGTAGTTGGGTGGAAACACTTTCGTCGCCATTTCTTTTGATCATTGTTGTTCTTTGTCATTGCTGTAGGGTATGAATTTTGGTTGAAAACATGTCGCTCGTAGTGTTGTCAAGAGTGAACCATTGTTTCTAAGATTTTAGAAAACTCAATATTTATGTCTCTTAATAGGGTAATAGACGTAAATATGAAACAATTAATTACTAATATATCATTGGTTATTTTTTATATATATTATTGTGAATCAAACTTAAATAGATGACGAAATAGACTAATTTTGTGTTAGTCAATACTTATGAAAAAGTGGTTTTTATGTTAGTGAGGTGAGACAATATTGACTAGAGATTAGAATGAAATTAATAATGACAAGTTTGGAGAGATAATTGAAGGAGTAAATACAAAATACTTTTTACTGGAAAGCTAATATTGATGAGGGACCAGAAAGAGATGAACAAGGACAAGTAGCAATGGATTAACCATATACTAACAAAAAATTGGAGCAACTAATAACTATTAAAAAAAAATTCTCACTACAATTAGCGAGGACTTCGCTGATGAAAGATTAGTTATGAAATAATGAAAAGACTTTCGACTACACATAAAGAAATTTCTTGTTAATAAATGAATCCATATCTCATGACTAAATTCATATTTATACCGTTTGCTTCATAGTAGAATCAATGTGATAATCATAATATCATATTGATCATAATTTAAGAGATGATAATTCTGTTTTTACCTCTAAATATTTTATTAGGTATTAGATACATTTATTATAAGTTATGTTTTATCACGCATGATAGTAAGTATTGGCTAAGAGCAATTGATGGGATGTATTTAAGACTTTTTTTTTTCTCTTACTTTCTATATCATGAATATGAAGTGTTAAAATAATAAATTCAGTTTTAGCCAAATATTTTTTATGTTTCAAACATAATTTTTATTGAAAATCTAACAAAATATGTATAATCATTATTCATATTTTATTCTTTTATGTTTCAGATAAAATTACTTTTATATATGTTCTAATTTATTTTATATAAATTAAACTTAAGCGCAATATTCACTGCCCACATTATTAAAATCGTGAAATACGCTTGTATAAAAATCAAAGTGACGAAAAAGAAGCAATTCTTCATTTCTATTTCAAATCATGGGTATGAAAGCAAGGAAATAAAATTTTGTTGGATAATTCTCTTCTAAACAAACAGAAGAAATATCCTAAATCCCTTCGTCCTATATCTCTTCCCAGTAAATCAACCACAACAAACAAAGCTAAACCTATTCGTACTGTAAGCAGTTGTTACACAGCAAAGTTTTCATCTATTATCTCATTCCATTTTGCTTTCACAGCTATACATAACTGTAGTGGATGCAAGTATTACATACACAATCCTCTTACAACTAAAAACAGACAGTAAATAGGAACCAAACAATCGACAGGTATCCAGTTAATACTTTTTCTTCTTAAGAAATTAAGCACACATACACAGCTATTAAATAATCCACCTTTAACTACCTGAGTCCCACGTTCCCTTCGTATTATCAGTCTATGCTCTTCAACTCTCATTGATTTTCCCAGAATCAGTCAGCAGTCATTGGTTGTGTCATGCAACACCTAAATCGGGCCTTCCGAACCGTTGTCAAGATCTCAGTCTCTGCGTTCTCAAGCATTCCTACAATTTCAGTAAACGGTGGCCTAATATCAGGGTTGGGATCCCAGCATCTTGTCATGATCTCACGGAGAACAGGTAAGCAGTCATTGGGTATGATGGGGCGAACGTTTTTGGTGACAACTGCAAATGCTGCCTGTACCGCTGTCATGTTCTGAAACGGAAGCATTCCAGTGATGAGTTCCCATAAAACAATCCCAAAGCTATATACATCCACCTTTTGTGTGTAAGGCCTATGCTGGATCATCTCCCTGCAGCAGACCATAAAATAAGAGATTTAAGTACATGTCAACATATGTATTTTTTATTAGAAAATATATAAAACAGTGAAACAAATTATATATCAGCACTTCAAAAAAGCAGGTTTATATTATCCACAGTATAAATATGGTAATTAACTGGATTTTAATAGAAACACAAGAAAGCAGGCTGACTCAGTTATTCTCCATGTAGCTATCACGTACAGCCTAGTTTTGACAAGAAATAACAGCTAAAAGGTCATTCATTAAATAGAAGATACAATTGGAATGAAAGAATAAATATACAGAAGTTAAAAATGTGATTGGATTATACCTTTAAAATACGCTCTTTATTATTCTTCTAAGTATAAGTTGTATTTATTTTTTCACATTTATATGATTATCACTATTTACTAAGCTGAGTGCAAAACACAATTTACAGAAATCTATCCTGAAATTTATTCTCAAGGTGCGTAAATGAGCAGGTTCAATCTTTCTTCAGCTCATTGTTGCTCGGTCGTTCCTTTCCGTCCAGCAGATTCTAAATCCCTTTTAGGTGGCACCGTTCCAAATTTCTCAAAATTCCCCAAGTCTCTGGTTTCAAACCATCAAGAGAAAAGACTAAGAAATGTCATCAAATCAGTTCAGTAAAGGAGTCATTGTGTATCTATTTAACTTCATGCAAGTCCAAATTGCCTTAACCTATCTCCTTGTATACATATAATCGCTTTATATCTTGTCCTTCATTTAGTGTACACACATCTATCAAAACTTTCAAAATTTTGCTACTATCACTTTTTTCTTGCATTATATCTCCTTAAAGCTTAACATTCTCTATTGTACATAGTTGTATAATAAAATTTGCCTTTGAACTTGGTAGAGACTTTGCTGCACAAATAACCTATGATATCTTTTCCATTTTGACCATTTATTTTGCATCTTATGTGTGGCAATTTAATTATTTTGTCCATTATTTTGTAATATTGATTCTTGTAAAAATGATTTTTTTTATTATCTGTTTAACAACTTTTATAAAGCTATCATTTTGTATCTAGTATGCCACATGCTGCAGCATTTTCCTTGATTTCTAAAAGTTGTACATTTTGTACAAACGTAAATATAAGGTAAGCTAACTCACTGATCTTCCGATATTCAAAGTCTCTCAACTTCATATTAGAGCACGTACAACTCTGCTCTGTTGTCCACAGCACCGGTTGTTATTGCCTTTGCCGGGAAACCACGGTCTGCTGCTTGTCACCACCATCTGCCAGTGACCCTTTGTTCTGGAAACTTAAAGGATAGGTACATCTTGTCAAACACAACCTAACCAGGAAGTTTGAAGTCTAAACTACAATCTGCGAGCAGATCTCACAAGCTGCCCAGTCACCTGTGTCAGTACACATACTGACTTGCCACCAACAGAATGCCACCATACCACTCTGAAGCACACTAACCAGATCCTCCTAGACCGGGTCCATTTCAAGAATCAGTTTTCTCTCTTATAAGTGTCTTTGCTTGGGTTGTTGGCCTGAACACGATTCTCCTCTCCTTTGGTATAATTTTTCTTTCTCTGGTTCAGAAAATGGCTACCCTTGGTTCTGCCGAGTCTCCGATCCTGTGCTCTCTATATCTGGGACACCCATCCCCACCACAGAGAAACTCTACTAAATTATTTTTGGTAATGATATACAACATCTATATGATAATATGGCTCAGCTAAGAAACTAGCCTCTCTAAAAGAGACTAACCATGACATGACTACTCCTGTAGCTCAAGCCCATGTAAGAATTGGAAATACTCTTAGATGCTGATTCATTGGAAGGAATACGACAAAACTTAATAAGTTGTATATTGCTTGCTTAGTTTTTTTCTATCACGAATACTAGGTGATCAAGAAATCCCCTCACTAGACAGCTTAATTACTCGATTTCTTCATGTTCCTACTCTTGTTAAGTGGGAAAGTCCAACTGCAGTGGTTAATCTCCTGCGGTGGTGTCTTCACAAGGAAGAGGTCATGAAAACTTATGAGGAAAAGGTTACATTCATACAATTTTCATGTTACTTATCCCCTCCTGGGATCTTGCTTTTGATAACCTTGTTCATCTATGAGTATGTGTAAAGAAAATATCCACTTAATCCAAAAAGCAAGTTTTGGAAACCTGTTCTACCTAATAACTTCTTATAGAATACGAGTTTAACCCTAGAATCTTGTGACATTATCAAGATGATCAAGCATCCAAATTTTAAGATAAAATAAATACCATCTGTAGTAATTATAGTTGACAAGTCATATATTATAACAAGTGTATTATACATCAAAAGAAAGTTGATTGGTGAAGAATGAGCTAGTTTTTATATACATGAAATTCAGTAAATTTGATCTACTTAATGAGCACTTACAATCCAACCATGGGATTGATGAACTTCAATGTCCATAAAGAAGTTATTAAATGGAATAAATGTAACAAGACTAGATCCCAAATTAAAGGGGTCTCCTAGAACCATTTAAAATTTTCATTAATAACCTTTTTCTTTATTAAGACGGAATTTCAGAAGCATAAAACCACAATGTACAGTAGAATTATTATTAAAAGAAGGAAACTAATGAATCTTACGGAGCCATCCAACGGTATGTTCCCGTCTCAGGTGTCATTCCTTCCGTTAGCACCTCAATCCGAGCAACTCCAAAATCAGCAATTTTAATTGATTTGTCACCAAAAATCAAAAGATTATCGGATTTCAAGTCCCTGTGGATCAATCCAAGGCCATGAACATATGCCATCCCACGTGCAACATCCAAAGCTTGTTTAACAGCCAATTTAAGGGGCACTGATCTGTTTTGTCGCTTCATTAAAAATTGCCGAACTGAACCCCCTTTGGCATATTCTGTAACAATACACCATACCATTGGCTTATGGCATGCACCAATAAAACGAACTATGTTAGGATGATTTAATGTAGCCAGCATCATCACCTCCTGCTGAAACTGTTGTTCCATCAACTGAGCCTTTGTTGAATCATTTTCAGGCCTCTCCAAGATTTTAATAGCAACATCTTCATTATTGTAAGTACCTCTGTACAGTTTTCCAAAAGCCCCTTGAGCAAAAGCCTCACCCATACTAAGATTCCTCAAATCAATTGTCCACTCATCAAAATTGTCAAGCCCTTCAGTTGGGGAACTAGTGTCCATTAGTGCTTGTGCCAAAGCATCATCACTCAAAGCATGTGTAACTCTTCCTCGATGATTGACACTGTGTGCAATGGAGGAATTATCATTGGGGCGTCTCCGCAACCCTTGGTGGTTCAATATACGAGTATGAGAATCATTGGAGCCAACACTGCTATTATCAATGGACATTGCAACAGATCCTCCATGGTTACTTGTTTGCAAGCTCCCAATACTGTCAATTAACATATCCGTGCCCTCCTCAAGCTTATGGTAAAAGCCCTTAGAGAAATCATAGTAGTCATCGTTCTGCTTGTTGAGGTCTATTGTTCCCGGGAATTTCACACCACCTTCCAGCATCTTTCTCAATAAAGAAAAGTATTCAAGTCTTGTTATTTCCTCAGCATCAGAAATTGTAAATTAAGCCACCTGAAAAAACAACTCTGAAAAACATACCCACAAAAGGTTACAACATTTGAATTTATAATCTTCAAATACAACAACAAAGGTAACTCCATCTTTGAATAATCTATAATCAATGCACAAGTGTGCATGTACACACGCACATACAAAGACTGAGACTCAGATTCCAACCAGACAGAAGAAACACAAAGTGATATTTAACTTAAGCAAAAGAAAAACTAACACTACGTCTAAATCAAGAGATTGTTTCCACAAATCAAAGTAATCGAATATCATAGTTTGGTATAAACTAGGAACTAAATGCACATGAACAACAGCAGAATGGCCTTAGAAAGAAAAAAAGCGAAGAAATGAAAAAGAGCAAGAATCTGGTAGAACCCTAAATCTGGGCAGCTTAACAAAAGCTGGCTAGTCGTACCTGGATGGAGAGAATCAGTTTCGATGCCACAGCAGAAGAGAAGATCGAATAGGATAAAGCAAAAAATAGAAAACAAATTGAGAAGTAGATTGAGGTCGAAAAGAACCAGACAAATGACTTTTTTCTTCAGTTTTTCTATCTCAGCTGTGCTTTGCTGTGTTTTTTTTTTCTTCTAACATTCTAAAGTACAATTTTCTGTTTTTCTACCATCAGCAAAAATAGAAAAACATGTGAAAATATACCCAAACATAAAATAAATTTAATAAAATTGAATTAGAAAGATTAAATTTATAAATTTTTAAAATTAAAGGATAAATTAACCAAAACTTTTAAAAAAGATTATTTTAATTTTTATTAAAAATTAGAAAACTAAAAAATATTTAATTCAAATAAAAGTTATTCAATTCAATTCTATTAGAATAATATTCAGTTTTATTTAAATAATTTGTTTTTTTATTTCGAAAGTATGTTACGTAACATCCCAAAACTATACTGTAAAACCATACATGAGAACAATTACATATTAACAATATTATAGACGAGTTCAATACTTAGCTAGATACGATTACGGTCGAACGGCCTTCCCTAACAATAGGGAATTTAAAACCATACGCTAGCTACCAGTGTACAAAATAACTTATACCGAACGGTCTTACCAAAGATAAAGCTAACAACAGATCGAACGTTCCTAAGGTTCGGCCTTCACTTCCGTTGCGTCTTCCAATACTTCTTCCAGCAGCTCTTCTCCTTCTGCTCACATCCACACAGATGATCATTATAACATGACAACGACCGAACACACAACATAAATAAAAATGATACACAGGGTAAGCTTATGTAATTTAATTAATGCAATAACAACATACAACGTTCATGATTCAATCAACAACAACCACATCATAATTCATACATCATGGCATGCAAAGAACGACTACTTGACTCTGACTGTCCGGACTGTATGAATCTTGTGTAGCTACGACGTTCGTGCACCCGGGTGATGTAGTAACTGGGATACCCTCAACAGCTGTCACCCGAGGTTGATCCGTTCCATCCAAGTTAACCTTATGGACTAGGACTTCCTGCCATTCTCACACATGACTTACTCCTTTCTACTTGAGAATGAGTAATCATGGAATATAAGGATAAACGCCCGCTAAGCTTTGCTCACATTCATACTTTACAAATCAATAACTACTTTCTGAGATATTCCTCCCTGGAATAATCGTTCATAACAAAACTATTTCATTCACATCACATCTCAAATTCTCTCATACTTTATCATCAATATATTAAACTGAAATAAGATCACACTTTCTCATCATAGCACAAGTACGACTGAAATAACACTTCTTAGAAATTAACATGATTGAGCGCTACTTATTCATTCAATAAATACACCCCTGAGAGTTCAAACCGGACGCCACGAAGCCTAGGCTGAGTACTAATACTCTAGGCCGAACACCTTTTAAAGACCAACACTGTTTGACACCTAATACTAATACTGATGAGAAATAACGAACGCTATCGATTTTGGTTAAGGACTCTTATTCTAAAAATGGAAATAATAGATTTCTGAAAACGAGACCCAACACTTGGTTTAAGACCGAGCCCTGTAGAAATCGAACACTATTGAACGAGCGTTGGTCCAAGACCAAGTACTTATAAGGAACGAACGCTATCGAACGCTTGGTCCAAGACCGAGCACTAATAAACTTACATAAAATGAATGAATATATATATACACACACACACACACACAATTGCGTCCCATTTATTTTAATGGAAGAATAACGTGAACGTCTATGACTTTAAGTAGTATAGAATACATTAACTAAACTGTTTAGAAAAACCTAAAGAAGGACTACACTTAGGCCGAACACTCATTTAAGTATATCTAACATTATAAAATAATCTTCATTAACGACATCATTTCTAGAAGAAGAACTTAGTATAGACTGACGTTCAAAGGAAAACTGAACGGTTAATACGAACTTTCGGTCACAGTTTACCTAATCTTATATAGTATTACAGAAAGACTCTTAGACACTATCCCTAAGGCATGAGAAATCAGTTAAAAACCATGCACTCCCGAGAAGAACCGAACGCTCGCTAATGACGCTCAACCATACTATCACCTTTCCTCAGAATACTACAGTTTGAAAATCAAACCCTATCTCAACTCAGTTCACAACGTATATCATTTATCCATCCAAACAAGCAGTACACGCATATTTCCTACTCATCAAATAATCAAACAACATATCATGCAAACATACCAACGTTCAAAACAAGAATTTAATCAAATTATATAAGCTTCCCTTACCTCTATACGTGACCGAACGCTCAATGATGTAGAATAGAGCTCCCCACTACCAAAGACTTAACGTTCGATAGTCACGTTTTAGGAATACTATTAGGAATACTAAACCAAACAGAAAACCAGAAACACTCAAAATTATACGATTCACTCAGGCGACCAGAAATAAAGGTTGGCACGCGAAAATAAATGAATGTGCTAAAGAGAAGGAAACTCACCGGCTTAGAACTACAAACCGATCGGTTTAAACGAAAGCTCTTGACGCCGGGAGTGTTCAAACGGTACCTGAGAGGTGATCAGAAGAAGAAAAAGTGAGATTTTCTTAGAGAGAAGGTGGAGATTTTAGAGAGAAGGAGGAGAAAACGTTTTTCAGAAATTTGGAGAAGAATGAGAGCTTGCAGAGAAATGACACGACATTTGAAATTTTGCTTTAAGTACTGCTGTCACCCAAACCGAACTGCCACTCTCCTGCAGCCACCTGTTTTCCACTAACTGAAACGCTCACTCTCTCCTTGANATATTGCTTGCTTAGTTTTTTTCTATCACGAATACTAGGTGATCAAGAAATCCCCTCACTAGACAGCTTAATTACTCGATTTCTTCATGTTCCTACTCTTGTTAAGTGGGAAAGTCCAACTGCAGTGGTTAATCTCCTGCGGTGGTGTCTTCACAAGGAAGAGGTCATGAAAACTTATGAGGAAAAGGTTACATTCATACAATTTTCATGTTACTTATCCCCTCCTGGGATCTTGCTTTTGATAACCTTGTTCATCTATGAGTATGTGTAAAGAAAATATCCACTTAATCCAAAAAGCAAGTTTTGGAAACCTGTTCTACCTAATAACTTCTTATAGAATACGAGTTTAACCCTAGAATCTTGTGAAATTATCAAGATGATCAAGCATCCAAATTTTAAGATAAAATAAATACCATCTGTAGTAATTATAGTTGACAAGTCATATATTATAACAAGTGTATTATACATCAAAAGAAAGTTGATTAGTGAAGAATGAGCTAGTTTTTATATACATGAAATTCAGTAAATTTGATCTACTTAATGAGCACTTACAATCCAACCATGGGATTGATGAACTTCAATGTCCATAAAGAAGTTATTAAATGGAATAAATGTAACAAGACTAGATCCCAAATTAAAGGGGTCTCCTAGAACCATTTAAAATTTTCATTAATAACATTTTTCTTTATTAAGACGGAATTTCAGAAGCATAAAACCACAATGTACAGTAGAATTATTATTAAAAGAAGGAAACTAATGAATCTTACGGAGCCATCCAACGGTATGTTCCCGTCTCAGGTGTCATTCCTTCCGTTAGCACCTCAATCCGAGCAACTCCAAAATCAGCAATTTTAATTGATTTGTCACCAAAAATCAAAAGATTATCGGATTTCAAGTCCCTGTGGATCAATCCAAGGCCATGAACATATGCCATCCCACGTGCAACATCCAAAGCTTGTTTAACAGCCAATTTAAGGGGCACTGATCTGTTTTGTCGCTTCATTAAAAATTGCCGAACTGAACCCCCTTTGGCATATTCTGTAACAATACACCATACCATTGGCTTATGGCATGCACCAATAAAACGAACTATGTTAGGATGATTTAATGTAGCCAGCATCATCACCTCCTGCTGAAACTGTTGTTCCATCAACTGAGCCTTTGTTGAATCATTTTCAGGACTCTCCAAGATTTTAATAGCAACATCTTCATTATTGTAAGTACCTCTGTAAAGTTTTCCAAAAGCCCCTTGAGCAAAAGCCTCACCCATACTAAGATTCCTCAAATCAATTGTCCACTCATCAAAATTGTCAAGCCCTTCAGTTGGGGAACTAGTGTCCATTAGTGCATGTGCCAAAGCATCATCACTCAAAGCATGTGTAACTCTTCCTCGATGATTGACACTGTGTGCAATGGAGGAATTATCATTGGGGCGTCTCCGCAACCCTTGGTGGTTCAATATACGAGTATGAGAATCATTGGAGCCAACACTGCTATTATCAATGGACATTGCAACAGATCCTCCATGGTTACTTGTTTGCAAGCTCCCAATACTGTCAATTAACATATCCGTGCCCTCCTCAAGCTTATGGTAAAAGCCCTTAGAGAAATCATAGTAGTCATCGTTCTGCTTGTTGAGGTCTATTGTTCCCGGGAATTTCACACCACCTTCCAGCATCTTTCTCAATAAAGAAAAGTATTCAAGTCTTGTTATTTCCTCAGCATCAGAAATTGTAAATTAAGCCACCTGAAAAAACAACTCTGAAAAACATACCCACAAAAGGTTACAACATTTGAATTTATAATCTTCAAATACAACAACAAAGGTAACTCCATCTTTGAATAATCTATAATCAATGCACAAGTGTGCATGTACACACGCACATACAAAGACTGAGACTCAGATTCCAACCAGACAGAAGAAACACAAAGTGATATTTAACTTAAGCAAAAGAAAAACTAACACTACGTCTAAATCAAGAGATTGTTTCCACAAATCAAAGTAATCGAATATCATAGTTTGGTATAAACTAGGAACTAAATGCACATGAACAACAGCAGAATGGCCTTAGAAAGAAAAAAAGCGAAGAAATGAAAAAGAGCAAGAATCTGGTAGAACCCTAAATCTGGGCAGCTTAACAAAAGCTGGCTAGTCGTACCTGGATGGAGAGAATCAGTTTCGATGCCACAGCAGAAGAGAAGATCGAATAGGATAAAGCAAAAAATAGAAAACAAATTGAGAAGTAGATTGAGGTCGAAAAGAACCAGACAAATGACTTTTTTCTTCAGTTTTTCTATCTCAGCTGTGCTTTGCTGTGTTTTTTTTTTCTTCTAACATTCTAAAGTACAATTTTCTGTTTTTCTACCATCAGCAAAAATAGAAAAACATGTGAAAATATACCCAAACATAAAATAAATTTAATAAAATTGAATTAGAAAGATTAAATTTATAAATTTTTAAAATTAAAGGATAAATTAACCAAAACTTTTAAAAAAGATTATTTTAATTTTTATTAAAAATTAGAAAACTAAAAAATATTTAATTCAAATAAAAGTTATTCAATTCAATTCTATTAGAATAATATTCAGTTTTATTTAAATAATTTGTTTTTTTATTTCGAAAGTATGTTACGTAACATCCCAAAACTATACTGTAAAACCATACATGAGAACAATTACATATTAACAATATTATAGACGAGTTCAATACTTAGCTAGATACGATTACGGTCGAACGGCCTTCCCTAACAATAGGGAATTTAAAACCATACGCTAGCTACCAGTGTACAAAATAACTTATACCGAACGGTCTTACCAAAGATAAAGCTAACAACAGATCGAACGTTCCTAAGGTTCGGCCTTCACTTCCGTTGCGTCTTCCAATACTTCTTCCAGCAGCTCTTCTCCTTCTGCTCACATCCACACAGATGATCATTATAACATGACAACGACCGAACACACAACATAAATAAAAATGATACACAGGGTAAGCTTATGTAATTTAATTAATGCAATAACAACATACAACGTTCATGATTCAATCAACAACAACCACATCATAATTCATACATCATGGCATGCAAAGAACGACTACTTGACTCTGACTGTCCGGACTGTATGAATCTTGTGTAGCTACGACGTTCGTGCACCCGGGTGATGTAGTAACTGGGATACCCTCAACAGCTGTCACCCGAGGTTGATCCGTTCCATCCAAGTTAACCTTATGGACTAGGACTTCCTGCCATTCTCACACATGACTTACTCCTTTCTACTTGAGAATGAGTAATCATGGAATATAAGGATAAACGCCCGCTAAGCTTTGCTCACATTCATACTTTACAAATCAATAACTACTTTCTGAGATATTCCTCCCTGGAATAATCGTTCATAACAAAACTATTTCATTCACATCACATCTCAAATTCTCTCATACTTTATCATCAATATATTAAACTGAAATAAGATCACACTTTCTCATCATAGCACAAGTACGACTGAAATAACACTTCTTAGAAATTAACATGATTGAGCGCTACTTATTCATTCAATAAATACACCCCTGAGAGTTCAAACCGGACGCCACGAAGCCTAGGCTGAGTACTAATACTCTAGGCCGAACACCTTTTAAAGACCAACACTGTTTGACACCTAATACTAATACTGATGAGAAATAACGAACGCTATCGATTTTGGTTAAGGACTCTTATTCTAAAAATGGAAATAATAGATTTCTGAAAACGAGACCCAACACTTGGTTTAAGACCGAGCCCTGTAGAAATCGAACACTATTGAACGAGCGTTGGTCCAAGACCAAGTACTTATAAGGAACGAACGCTATCGAACGCTTGGTCCAAGACCGAGCACTAATAAACTTACATAAAATGAATGAATATATATATACACACACACACACACACAATTGCGTCCCATTTATTTTAATGGAAGAATAACGTGAACGTCTATGACTTTAAGTAGTATAGAATACATTAACTAAACTGTTTAGAAAAACCTAAAGAAGGACTACACTTAGGCCGAACACTCATTTAAGTATATCTAACATTATAAAATAATCTTCATTAACGACATCATTTCTAGAAGAAGAACTTAGTATAGACTGACGTTCAAAGGAAAACTGAACGGTTAATACGAACTTTCGGTCACAGTTTACCTAATCTTATATAGTATTACAGAAAGACTCTTAGACACTATCCCTAAGGCATGAGAAATCAGTTAAAAACCATGCACTCCCGAGAAGAACCGAACGCTCGCTAATGACGCTCAACCATACTATCACCTTTCCTCAGAATACTACAGTTTGAAAATCAAACCCTATCTCAACTCAGTTCACAACGTATATCATTTATCCATCCAAACAAGCAGTACACGCATATTTCCTACTCATCAAATAATCAAACAACATATCATGCAAACATACCAACGTTCAAAACAAGAATTTAATCAAATTATATAAGCTTCCCTTACCTCTATACGTGACCGAACGCTCAATGATGTAGAATAGAGCTCCCCACTACCAAAGACTTAACGTTCGATAGTCACGTTTTAGGAATACTATTAGGAATACTAAACCAAACAGAAAACCAGAAACACTCAAAATTATACGATTCACTCAGGCGACCAGAAATAAAGGTTGGCACGCGAAAATAAATGAATGTGCTAAAGAGAAGGAAACTCACCGGCTTAGAACTACAAACCGATCGGTTTAAACGAAAGCTCTTGACGCCGGGAGTGTTCAAACGGTACCTGAGAGGTGATCAGAAGAAGAAAAAGTGAGATTTTCTTAGAGAGAAGGTGGAGATTTTAGAGAGAAGGAGGAGAAAACGTTTTTCAGAAATTTGGAGAAGAATGAGAGCTTGCAGAGAAATGACACGACATTTGAAATTTTGCTTTAAGTACTGCTGTCACCCAAACCGAACTGCCACTCTCCTGCAGCCACCTGTTTTCCACTAACTGAAACGCTCACTCTCTCCTTGACACATGGATCCCTCTACTTGGGATTTTCAGTGAGTTTTTAAGGGGTCTGACATTGTTACATTTAATCTTTTATAATTTGTATTACAGAATTTGAATTTTGCTTTGTATTATTAGAAAAGTTTTTTTTTCATAAAATAAATTTTACCTTTAATTAATACATGAATTCTATCGTGATTAATTGTTTATTTAAAAAAAATATATATTTACGGAATAAAAGCTCTATACAGTGATTTGAAATCTGCACTCTATCTCATTTATATTATGTTATAATACACAACCTTCATCTTCATTCTTAGCTATCTTGCATCTTTATTTTATTATAATATTTAAAAAATAATAGTGAGTTTTTATTCTTGGCTAAAATAATTCTAAAAGGAGCTAAAATGTTTTATGTAATAAGTATATAGGTTTGAACTATATTTATACTTGTTTCATTTTTTAAATAAATTATAATGTACATGATAATGTATGATCATCGATAATTCAATTTGAATAATATATCCGACAAGTATTTATATCCAATATTTTAAAATATTTTATTAATATTTATTTATGAAGTATCTTTTATATATATATATATATATATATATATANTGGGATACCCTCAACAGCTGTCACCCGAGGTTGATCCGTTCCATCCAAGTTAACCTTATGGACTAGGACTTCCTGCCATTCTCACACATGACTTACTCCTTTCTACTTGAGAATGAGTAATCATGGAATATAAGGATAAACGCCCGCTAAGCTTTGCTCACATTCATACTTTACAAATCAATAACTACTTTCTGAGATATTCCTCCCTGGAATAATCGTTCATAACAAAACTATTTCATTCACATCACATCTCAAATTCTCTCATACTTTATCATCAATATATTAAACTGAAATAAGATCACACTTTCTCATCATAGCACAAGTACGACTGAAATAACACTTCTTAGAAATTAACATGATTGAGCGCTACTTATTCATTCAATAAATACACCCCTGAGAGTTCAAACCGGACGCCACGAAGCCTAGGCTGAGTACTAATACTCTAGGCCGAACACCTTTTAAAGACCAACACTGTTTGACACCTAATACTAATACTGATGAGAAATAACGAACGCTATCGATTTTGGTTAAGGACTCTTATTCTAAAAATGGAAATAATAGATTTCTGAAAACGAGACCCAACACTTGGTTTAAGACCGAGCCCTGTAGAAATCGAACACTATTGAACGAGCGTTGGTCCAAGACCAAGTACTTATAAGGAACGAACGCTATCGAACGCTTGGTCCAAGACCGAGCACTAATAAACTTACATAAAATGAATGAATATATATATACACACACACACACACACAATTGCGTCCCATTTATTTTAATGGAAGAATAACGTGAACGTCTATGACTTTAAGTAGTATAGAATACATTAACTAAACTGTTTAGAAAAACCTAAAGAAGGACTACACTTAGGCCGAACACTCATTTAAGTATATCTAACATTATAAAATAATCTTCATTAACGACATCATTTCTAGAAGAAGAACTTAGTATAGACTGACGTTCAAAGGAAAACTGAACGGTTAATACGAACTTTCGGTCACAGTTTACCTAATCTTATATAGTATTACAGAAAGACTCTTAGACACTATCCCTAAGGCATGAGAAATCAGTTAAAAACCATGCACTCCCGAGAAGAACCGAACGCTCGCTAATGACGCTCAACCATACTATCACCTTTCCTCAGAATACTACAGTTTGAAAATCAAACCCTATCTCAACTAAGTTCACAAAGTATATCATTTATCAATCCAAACAAGCAGTACACACATATTTCCTACTCATCAAATAATCAAACAACATATCATGCAAACATACCAACGTTCAAAACAAGAATTTAATCAAATTATATAAGCTTCCCTTACCTCTATACGTGACCGAACGCTCAATGATGTAGAATAGAGCTCCCCACTACCAAAGACTTAACGTTCGATAGTCACGTTTTAGGAATACTATTAGGAATACTAAACCAAACAGAAAACCAGAAACACTCAAAATTATACGATTCACTCAGGCGACCAGAAATAAAGGTTGGCACGCGAAAATAAATGAATGTGCTAAAGAGAAGGAAACTCACCGGCTTAGAACTACAAACCGATCGGTTTAAACGAAAGCTCTTGACGCCGGGAGTGTTCAAACGGTACCTGAGAGGTGATCAGAAGAAGAAAAAGTGAGATTTTCTTAGAGAGAAGGTGGAGATTTTAGAGAGAAGGAGGAGAAAACGTTTTTCAGAAATTTGGAGAAGAATGAGAGCTTGCAGAGAAATGACACGACATTTGAAATTTTGCTTTAAGTACTGCTGTCACCCAAACCGAACTGCCACTCTCCTGCAGCCACCTGTTTTCCACTAACTGAAACGCTCACTCTCTCCTTGACACATGGATCCCTCTACTTGGGATTTTCAGTGAGTTTTTAAGGGGTCTGACATTGTTACATTTAATCTTTTATAATTTGTATTACAGAATTTGAATTTTGCTTTGTATTATTAGAAAAGTTTTTTTTTCATAAAATAAATTTTACCTTTAATTAATACATGAATTCTATCGTGATTAATTGTTTATTTAAAAAAAATATATATTTACGGAATAAAAGCTCTATACAGTGATTTGAAATCTGCACTCTATCTCATTTATATTATGTTATAATACACAACCTTCATCTTCATTCTTAGCTATCTTGCATCTTTATTTTATTATAATATTTAAAAAATAATAGTGAGTTTTTATTCTTGGCTAAAATAATTCTAAAAGGAGCTAAAATGTTTTATGTAATAAGTATATAGGTTTGAACTATATTTATACTTGTTTCATTTTTTAAATAAATTATAATGTACATGATAATGTATGATCATCGATAATTCAATTTGAATAATATATCCGACAAGTATTTATATCCAATATTTTAAAATATTTTATTAATATTTATTTATGAAGTATCTTTTATATATATATATATATATATATATATATAAATAATAATACTTTTATAATAATAATATTTATAATTTTTTATTTTAACAACATTTAATAGATATGATTTTAATTTAGATAACAATCCTATATTTATTATATCTTTAAAACTTTTATATATTTTTCAACGTACGTATATATATATATATATATATATCACGTATTTATTATTTTAAAATAAATATATATTCATATATTAGGATATAAGTTTAGTTGAAAAAGAGTAATACGTCAAATTTATAAATAATAAAAAAATTGTATTGTGGTATTTATATACATAAGTAATAAAACATAATAAACTATTTCTTTAAAAATTTATTTTGTAATAATAACACTCTCGTATAACATAAGTTTAACATTTTATACAAGTCATTTTAAAAATAAAAAATATATTCATAAATAGTAATAATTTTAATATAAAATACTAGTAGCAAACTTAAGCTGACTTGTTAAACCTTAAAAAACATTTTAAACATCTAAAACCTTATATTTTTAATCAAAAAGACTTTTTCAATTGGATATACTAATTTCGACCTCTGTAAACCAAATCATAAGTACAGAGTTTGACATATTTCAATCCCTAACTAAGAACACTCCTACAAGTAACCAGCATATAAATTTATTCTTCATAACTAGTCACAATGTGTATGATTAAAACATTAAATCAAATTAAAATAAAAAACTGCAAAAGAATAGAAATATAAATAAAAAATCAATAAATTATCATTTAATGATAATGAAATCAACCTCTATGCTTCACATAAAAATGACTTGGATTTCAATTTGACCATTAGCCAAGTTGATCTTTTATTCCTGTCATTCCATATACAAATACATTTCATATGGAACTTCTTACCCATTAATCAATCACATGGTTCATTTTCATCCATTAGAAGATGAAGAAATTCTTGGTGCTCATGAAAATCGTCCCCACTCTCAAAGCATCCGAATGTACGCTAGGCAACCTCATCAGAAATATATTTCATCACGTTTTCAACTTTGAAACACCAATTTACTTTTAAAGATCCATCTCAAACAAACCAATTCCAGGATCTAACCAAATAAGAGTTGAATTTCAAAATCAAAATGATATTTAAGGCTTGTATTTATTTGTTGTCGGATTTAAGGGATGATTTTGCTGGCCGCAATGAAACTCCTTCAACTGCTGTCGTCTACCATATAATTGAAAGAAAGCCAATCAGCATAGACTTCTTTCTTTTAAAAAAACAGACCACTTTCAAACAAAAGGCGCCCTTGAAGCAGTACCTGAACTCGTCGAACAGTAATTATTAGACAAAAATGTTGGACATTGTAATATAAAGAAATGTATGCAAGAAATACGAGGCTAGGGTGAAAAACTGAAAACTGTTTCAGTTGACAGACCACATACATGACTGATGAAAACCAACTTACCCAGACTAGTGTCGTTTCATTTCCTGAAATATATTTGTCACCCTTGGAGACAAACGTGGGAGGAATTTAAACAGCTGTATACAAAAATAAAAGTGTTGTGCATTAACAACTACAAATTGAAATAGGCAAAACTTCAATAGCTGTTCACAAAATAGAAATTTTCAGTTTTCTAGAAATATTATAGTTCAAAAATAAAAATTGATAAATGTTATTGTTCACAGGATTACAATTTACTAGAGATTTCATAAAAGCGGCAGTTGCAGGTCTAGGTGCCGCTAAATGATGGATAATTTCATATTAAAGTTGAAAGGTAAAGCCCAAAGAATATCCTAATATTTCTAATTCTAACAAAAACAAGTACATGAAATGAAAATGTAAATGATATCAGTATTATTTAGCAGTCACTAAATAGAGGAACGTACCCAAAGTTTCACGCATGCATCCATGACAACTGGGACCAGGCAGACAAAAATAGTTATAGTTGACTGATCAACTTCAAGCCCATAGTGCTCAACAATTATCTCTAGCAAAGTTTGCCAACCAGATTCAGAATGATACCTGCAGGCATCCCAATATCCAACAAAAGCAGTCAACAGCAACATGCTTAAAACCCAAAGCCCACCCTCCGGCAAAGAAAAAAGGGCATGGTATTCTTGTCTAGTAGAGGAAGAGGCAACAGTTATATATATATATATATATATGTAATAGATATATTATTTTGTTTTTTTTTGCGCTTTTTTTTCTTTTTTTTTTTTAATTTCTAGCTGATAGTGTCCCAAGAAAGAAGTAATAACCACTGATTGAAAGCCTTGGGTTTGGGAAATCCCCGAATCAGTACCACTAAAGTGCAGAGGTGTGAGGGACTAGACTTCCTTTGCCGGCTTGCCTCTTAAATAAGTAGGAACTATTTGGAATGATTTGTAAATCAAAATCAAAATAAAAAAAGGGTATCTAAATGGGGAGAGGAAGAGGGAGGAGAGGTGAGAGAGAGGAGAAAGTCAGCCCCCACCCAACGTAGAATTGTGAGAGAGATAAGGGAGGAAGTTGAGGACGGGAGGACGTGCAGGGAAGTGGAGGAAGTGGAGGATGTTGAGGAAGTTGACGATGTGGGCCGAAGTTGATAGTAGTGACGAAGTGGACGAAAAAGTGAGAGGAGTAGAGGAAGTGGACGAAGTGGAGAAGTGGACGAAGTGGACGAAGGGAGGAAGTGGAGGGGAAGTTGACGAAGTGGAAGAAGTAGAAGTGACGCACTTGCGAAAGTGGAATGAAAGTGCAGCCGTGGACTTAGTGGCCGAAGTTGACGCCGTG